TGGTTTTACCTCCATCGTTGGGTTGTTTTTAATGAAAACCAGTGGTGAAGTGGTGCCAGCAAGGCAAGGGGTCAAAGGGGTTCTCTGCAGGCTTTGTTTTGGAGGGGGTTGTCCATCACTGTCATCCTACCCTGGTCCCAGCCCCTTGCTCCTTCACAGCCACCTGGAAAAAATTACTGAGGAAGCTCCTGCTTTTCTTACGTTATAAATTTTTCCCTTTGCTTACTTATTTACTGTGAAATAATTGCACAAACGGAATAGTTCCATGCAGTTTTCATTTTATTTCCCTGGGTTCATTTCAATTTCTATTTATTTCTATTATAATTAGAGCATGTGGCCCATTTAATTCCACCAAATTTATGATATAATGGATGGGAGAAGGTTTTCTGTGAACACAAGATATTAATGCTTTGTTACACAGAATTACAGTATTTCAAAGTTCATTAAAAGTGCGGTTAACTTGTGGATGTCTACATCTGAGTACAGGAAAGATATTCCTCTTTATTGCCTTAATTTGCTACAGTGAAGTAGAAATACACGGGTCTGGGAAGCTAGAGTATGGGATGTACATGTTCTTGTCAGGAATGAGCATCAGATTGTCTTACACGATCTCTCAAGTTAGGACTATTGCAGTTATTCTATAAGGGAAAATTTTGCTTTATTAAATCAAGTTGAAAAGAGAAGTTTTAACTAACAGTAAAGACAATGTAATCTTGATTTTTATTGTTCAAATCTCCTATTTGTTACTGGTGTGATAACATGTCAGAACACAACTTTTATATTGCCATTAATATAGTTATAATTAGAAATGCAGCTGATACAGTACATGGGTTTAATACAGCATTATTAATTATACTGCATCCTCACCAGGAGGCTGCTAGTGTTGGTTCTCTTAGAAGCTTAGAGACTCATTGTAATATGTATTAAATGCACATTGCTGCAGCAGAAATAGCTTCATGGAGAAGCACATTCCCACTCTAAAATGGGCAGAACGACAGTGTAAGTGCTGCTAAGCACCCTATCAACATATTTAAAACTATCCTGCAAATGCATCCGAACTTGGGAACAATGAGCAACGTGCTTTGCCACCGCAGTTCAGCTGGGTCTGCGCAACCCGCTAATCCTCGCTAACAGGCAGTAAATTATGTACCTCCAAATTTATACAAATGCCTGCCTTTGACATCAGTGGGCACCACCCAGGTTTCACCTTCAGGATTCAGATAATCAGCTCTCATTCCTACCGGCTTCCCTCAAGACCAGTATGGAAATAAGTATGTGTCTGCCAGGGATCAAATGCTTTTGGAGACAAAAGTAGGTACTGAAAACATTACAGGATACTATCATCTCCCCATGATACTTTTACACAAAGCGCTCTGTTCCTCTTTTGGCCTGACATAGTTTCAGCCTGACAGAATCCAGCAGGCCTGCTTGTTTTAAACAAGAGCACATCCTATTATTTTTTTGAGAAATGAAGTGTAAAATTAATGCTTATTATTTTGATCTCAGAAAAAAAAAAAAAAAAAGGCAAGAAACCCAAGATTCTGTTTGCTGTGCATTGCTTGTTTAGTCCTGTAATCAATTGATCCCCGCACAGATACACTTATGGAGAAATGGGAGAAGATACAGCACAGCAAGCTGTAAAAATCTGCATTTTATTTTACAAATGAGAGGGGCTGCATAATTCACTTGAGTTATGTAGGTCTCTAATAGATGCTTGTCATATTAAAAAAAAAAAAATGGGGGGGAGGGGATAAAAATGAGGGAAATTATTGTATGTTTTCTGTTGCTAACGCCCAGCGCCACACGTTTGACTGGAGTGTTGGCTGTCATGCTGCATTGTCAAAAAGCCGCCTTGCATGTATCTATATGATCTTATATAATTCAAGGAAGTTATTCTCCAAAGGTGACTGAGTACCCCTATACATGCGCTGTGTTTCCATGTAAAATAATATGCTGTAAAATGCCATAGAGAAGAGAGTGATTATAGCAGCAATTCTATCTATTTCTTTGGGCATTTTCATATTTTGAATACACATGCATGAAAAGAGAAACGTTTGTCATGCTAACCATGGTACTTTTTTTCCCCTTTTTTCTTCCTGGATGGTTTTATAGACACAAGAAATACATAATGGACTCCTGTGGGAGTGGAATAAAAACCCCCACCGGTGACGAGAAGGCCTTATAATTCAGAAGTGGATTTGCAAATCAAAAGGTCTTGCCTCGAGTGGGATAAATTTCCAGATCTGCAGGAACCCATTATGTTTTATTATTTTTCATTCGAGTTTTAGTTTGTTTGTTATGGGTTTAACTATTTAAAATACTGCGGGGATCAGCCAAGAAAATACAGTCTATGTTACCTAATTAAACATACCAAGCTTGTAAGAATATACTTCAATTGAAATGCTGAGCATTGTTGTTCTTTTTTAATTTTACTAAAATTATAGGTATTTAGGCTGCTAAAGAAGCAGTCATCTCATCAGCAGTATGTGTCTGTATTTATGAACACACGTGCTCACACAGGACCATAGGCTGTACATGAATCACTGTTTTCCAAATACTCAGTATGTGGAGGGTAGAAAATTAATGTCAAACATGATTTATCTGATTTACTCTTAGAAGGAATTTGTTCCATTTCCCCCAGTACCTGCTTTGTCCTCTCCAGGTTTATCGCAGTGTTTGGTTGCTGTACACAGCTGTATGGCTGAGCTCAGGATACTCAGCACAAGGCACTTATCCCTTCCCCATCTTTCCTCCCCTCTGGAGCAGATTGCAAAGATTGCACAAAGCCAAAACTTTTCAGGCAAGGGTCTGATGGGAGAAGCCAGCATTATGCTACAGCGTGGGGAGAGGGTCAGGTTTTGAAACCCATCTGTCAGAAAGGGCGATGTGCCCATCTGTGGTGGCTGCCCAACAGAGGATTGCAAACCTCATTGCATCCTAGAAATATCCCAGTCCCCGGTTATGTCTGCCCAGGGAATTTGTGGAGCTGCTGCCATGGAGCCACTAACCCTTTCACCTTTACGTTCCTGCTCTTTCCTCCCTTTCCTTTTTTCTCTTTTTACCTCCTTCCCAACCCGCCTGTTCACTTCTCCACGTTCCACCTCTCCCTTCCCAACCGCAGCCCTGATGCCAGTGCCCACCACCAGCACCCTGCTCTCGCCCTGCAGCCACCGCTGCTGTGCAGGACAGAGCACCCATTGCCCCGCTGGTTTCCAGAGCCCACCCAGCCTTGAGGCGTCAGAGGCAGCACATCGCTGGCACCGGCGGCTCGCTGCCAGCACATGCTGCTGTGCAAGGCGCTGCGTGGAGAATTTTTTTTTTTTAATTATTGTTACTTTTCACACTGCGTGGAGGGCCCTGCAAGGCCCACGTGCTCTGGGACTTGCCTCTAGCTGCAGATGTGCCAAGATGCAAATGTGCGAGAGCCACCACGATCCCAGGCCTGGGCTGTGTCAGCGTCCTGCATGCAGAGCCCCACCGTTTGCCTGCCCTGGCACCTAGCTCCCTGCCTTGTAAAAGGGCTCTGGGATCCTGAGAGTACCAAAGGCCTTATAGAAAACAATAATTTCCCTCTGTTTAGCCCCTTTGAAGATAGAAAAAGCTAATTTAAAGAATTGTAAGTAAAGACCATGCTTCTGAAGGCTCGCATTATTCATAAGATCCAAATGCATTTGGCAAGAGATTAGTTCACAGTACAATATCATTTCTTAGCTATCTTGGAACTGAAAATTGAAGTCGGTGATATTTGAAGATATAAAAATAAAGCTGAGTGTACATCAAAAGACAGAATTTATTTAGTTTTTAAAATATGTTTTCATGAGAAGTTCGTGTGCTGACACAGTGAAGAAAAGACAAGTTTTCAGGAAGTATTTACAGAAACCATTCGCAAATTTTTAAAATTTTAAGTGTTTTCCGATTTATATAAACTGTACATTATGTTGCCTAAATTTCTACAACTCCCTCCTTCCCTTAAAGAAAACCAAAGAGTTCTTTAATCTTATGTGTGAAAATTACTTTAATATGACTTCAGTACCGCAAAAAAAGGCTCAGCCGCACTTAGAACTACAAACTTCAGCAAACAGAGAAACATATTATCTTACAAAAGTGGTAGGCTTGAAACAACAATAATAATTATTGTTATTTCCCTATGAGTTCAGCTAGAATATAGGGGCATTTAAAATGGGCCCTGTGTATTCAATGCTTAAAATATATGACAAGGAAATTACACTTTGAAACGACATTTAAATACCTTCAATGGTCTCTCTTCACCTTGGAAGAAGCCAAGAGATATAAAATTAAGGATGATACTCTGCTCTGGGCTCCTGCTATTCTCCAGTACTTTCTTCCTCTCCTGTGTGTTTGCAGTGTAGTCTGAGGTGAAGATGGCATTTCAGGCCGCTTTCAGTGATGTTGGTTGAAATCATACTATTAAATTCATTTTAAATGCTGTTTGACTATTTAGTAATCTATACCCAGAGCAGGGATGTTCTCCCTTTGTGGCAGGATGCGAGGTGGAGCGGTGCAGTGTTGTCTCGAGCCTGGGAGCAGGCGCGTGGGTTCCCAGCGGGTTGATCGCAGCGCTGCTAAAAATCAACGCCCCTAAATGTGACGGGGGGCTGTACACCTGCCCGCCCCGCGCGAGCGGCTCGGCCCGCTTTTCTGATGAGGCCGGAGCTGCGGCAGTGTCTGCGGGTCCTTGAAGTCGTGCGCGCCGGCACAGGCGTTTCTCGACGACTGCTGCTGCATCCCCGACGCTAATCTGCTGTGTCACTAACAAGTTGTATCATTTGAACCTTGCAGAGGAAGGCATCAATCATGAGTGCAAGCTGTGTAACCAGCGAGCGGCTCGGCCCGCTTTTCTGATGAGGCCGGAGCTGCGGCAGTGTCTGCGGGTCCTTGAAGTCGTGCGCGCCGGCACAGGCGTTTCTCGACGACTGCTGCTGCATCCCCGACGCTAATCTGCTGTGTCACTAACAAGTTGTATCATTTGAACCTTGCAGAGGAAGGCATCAATCATGAGTGCAAGCTGTGTAACCAGATGTTTGACTCTCCGGCAAAGCTCTTGTGTCACCTGATTGAGCACAGCTTTGAGGGGATGGGAGGCACATTCAAATGCCCTGTTTGTTTCACAGGTAAGACAAGGAGGCCAAGACAAGCCTCAGCGTGCATGGCTTGATCCAGAAATGACACTCGGGGGATTTGTAAAATACTGTTTTCCTTTCCTTGAGAAAAAGAAATCCTGTGCTTGGAAATGTTCAAAATATCATCTGTCTGAAACTGGGGCTTGCTCCAAAGAGCAGCACTGTGGCATTTGACACCGAGCAGCAGTGCTGCATGTGGCAGGCTCTGCACCGCCCCCCCCCAATTCTAGATTATACCCTGTGGCTCGCAGGCACGATGCATTTCCAAGTGCAGGACTTGCAAGGTATGGACCTGCTCTTGCAAGCCCTTGTTCACCTGAGCAAGGACCCTTTAAAGGCTAGGTAGCTTGTAGTCCGCTCACGGTGGTGAGGCTCATGTGAGTAAAGGTTTGGTAAGACCAAAGTGTACAACTGTATAGTTTTGCCAGTTGGTCTCTCAGAGGTTTCTTTAAGCCCAGTGTTCTCGTGGTGGCACGTTTCTAACTCCTGTCTCAGGGCCTGCTAGGTATGCCTTCGCTGTAGTTAATTTTAAGCTGTCTCATCAGTGCAAATGATCTTGGGTGATCTTGCTATTAAAGGATCTGCGGGATGCATGTTAAAGGCTGCCTTTTATACTCTCTTCAAAACAGTAGTTAACATCTGCATTTCCAAAGTGCTTGAGAGTTGAGGATCACATAGGTGTGACTGTGGACCTGTTGTCAGTAAAGAGGCATGGCAGCACCTGCAATGCCTTTGACTTTGGTGGGAGTAAGGTGAACCCATGCTCCTTAGGGTTTGGCCCACAATTTGAGAACCTGCTTTTTGTGTGAGCTTGGAGTTAATTTATCCTTTCCTGAAATGTACTGTAAAATAAGTCTTTGAGTGCCTGTGTTTAATTCTGCTGAAGAAGCTATTTTCACATACTGATGATCATTCATATAAAATGAGACTAAAATTAAATGAGATATATTTTTAGCCGGCTAAAGCCTGCGGTTCAGTATGTTTCACTTCCAAATTTCATGTGATAAAGTCAGAATAATTGTTGATTCAAAGTCATAATGCAGATGCTGTGATATTTGTGATGTTAAATCATAATTTTATTTTTTTTTTTTTTTTTAATACTGAATGGACAACCCATTTAAAATGTCTAAAAATTGTGACCAGCCTGCCCTTTCAGATTCATATGTCTGCCATAAATGCTGTTCTGGGCCACGTGTCTTCCAAACCAGCCATCAAGGCTTCTCCTGGCCCAGTTGTCCTGCATTAAAAATGCATCCCATGCACCTGCCATGGGCCCAGGGCTCCCTGCAGGAGCAGTGACGTCCTCTCTTTGGTCTGATGATTGAGTTCTTCCAGTTACCCGTGGACAGTGTTAGCTTTATGTGAAATATCAAAAATCAGTGCAGGATTTAGAGTCTGTTAGAAGTAAGCTGACTGTCAGCCTGGAGACTCTAAATTGACTACTTGTAAGGAAATTCTGCTGAAAAAAAAAACCGACTGTATCGGCACTTCTCTGGCAGATATCCTTGGACTTTTCAGAGTCTTCACAGTTGTAGAAGTGCAGTTCAAGACGAGATGCCTTATACGAAGCAATCTTAACTAATTGCACTATTTTGTTTCAGTTTTTGTACAGGCAAACAAACTGCAGCAGCACATCTTTGCAGTCCATGGGCAGGAAGATAAAATTTATGACTGTTCCCAGTGTCCACAGAAGTTCTTCTTTCAAACAGAGCTTCAGGTATGTTTACAACAGGCATAAAAGCAAAGCTAAAGCTTTTGATTTCTCTGTGCAACCGTCACCCTTGTGCAGCATTTAGAAAAGGTGCATACCCTTGGTATGGTCTCTTCTGCTCTTAAACAGTCTCCTCTCAGTCTCTTCCTGCCTCCCCAGATGCTATCAGGAGAAAGAGGTCTCTGAGCATGGCTGGAATAAATAAATAAGACAAGACAGATATCATGATTCTTTATGAGTATTTCTCTTGACAGTAGTGTTGCTACATCCTGACATGTCTACGTCAAACACCTTGTAAATAATTTCTTTTTCTCTATTAATAATTTAGGGACTGATTAACATACAAAGACTAAGCAAATGGTAGCTGCCCCCTCCCCTTCCTCACTGTTAAGTCAGAAGTAAAGGAATTTTCCCTACCGAGATATGAGAGGAAAGCGTGGGTGCAGCTCAACACAACCCTTAATTAGAGGCTCCACCAAGGCACTAGCACGTTAACAAGCTGCAGTTTCTGCAAACCAGGTGTTACATACCAGTTTCCCTGGCAGCACTGGGGGGCCACAGCCACAGCAGTTTTAGCCTCCGTGAAGCTGCTCTGGGAGCCCTGGCCCCAGAGGCCACCTTGGAGCCATGCTGGTGAGGCTGGGGTGTAAATCACACTGAAACCTTTGGTGCTAAACCCACGTAGATGCTGAAACCTCCATAGCATGTGTGCCAAATACCTCATGGGGAATGGACCACTGCAGCCTGCCCTGGCCTTTCTGAACTGAGCTTCTGAAGAGCTCGCAGGAAGGAGCCTGCCCTGGCCGTCGTCCTGAGGCATATCTTACCTGTGTAGCACGGCCACCAAAATAGTGCTACCGTCCCCTGGCAAATGCAGTCTTTTAATAGAATGCTACAGTATGCCTCATTTAAATCTATTAGCTTTGTAAACCATGATTTACTTAAACTTTGGAGGGTTTTTATTTATCTTGCTGAATTCCCAAGCTGCTGCCTCTTGTGTCGTGCTGTCATGCTGTGGAAGGATGGTTGATCTTTTCACTTTGTTGATTTTATTTTTTTTTCTCCCAGGGGACTCTCTTCTTTCCCTTGTTCTAGCAACCTGATTTGCATAAGTGTACAAAAGTTTTAACTATACCTTGTTAATATTTTAATAAAGTCAGCAGATTTTGGGTTTGTGTGTTCTCACTATGAACGTTTTATGAAGGCAACAGTGGTTTGCAAAGCTGGCTCTGATTTTTCCTCCCATTTTTCCTCTAAAGTGGTGTTTGGTCAAAATGCCAGCACAATTAAAATGGGCACGCTGGCTTCCTAGGTCACTGCATTAACCTTTAAAATCAGATGGTCAAATAAAGAGAAGCGTGTTAAATTATAGTCTTAACAGTGGCCCATTTTTTGCAATTAACAATTTTAATTACAGAGTTTTTCAATTCTGCAGTGTTGTGCATTGCAAAATTGCTGCAAATAGCAGCTTTAATCAGATAAATTATAATTGTAATTTTCCAGTTTTATGCAGGATTTGTGTGCACTTAAAATTTCTGTGCTCATAATAATTACACAAGTAGTTTTGAATGGTGTTGGCTGAACCAAAGTTCAATACTTAGCTGCACAGTTTTAGTCTTTATTTCAGCAGTGACTCAGAAATGTGTGTTTACTTGATGCCAGGGATTTTACTAATCCAAATACCTGAGCCAAGGAGGACACAAAATATGTGTGTATATCAGTTAGAAATGTTCAAGGCTTTTGAACCGGTCTGCCTTGCCATGATTATCTCATCAGTTTCTGATGTGTAAGTGGCCTGCTCCAGGTTCCTCAACTGTTGGTTATATTTTTGAAGAGTAATGAAGATTTAGTATTATTTTAGTGAACCAGTTGTTCAGCTGCTAGTTAGGGTTAAAGCTGCATAAACCTTCCAGTCCTTTAACCGTGCCATTCTTCTTATGTGGGCAAATCACCATCCATCAACGGGTTCCGCTTGATGAATTTGACTTTTCAGTTCTGATCTTGCTTTCCCACTGGCATAAAATAACTAGTGTCAAAATCTGAACCTACACTTTGTTTTACCTCTTTGAAATTTTAAGTGAAACCACTGAAAATACTTTAAAAAAAATTTTACATTCAACTATTTCAAGAAGAAATTCAGAGTGCGGTCCTTACAGAAAAGCAAGAAAAGCAAGGAATGTCAAGAAAATTCTTAGCAGCACAGGGAAAAGGTAACTTTTAGAGATGTCATGGAGTGGCATGAATTAGCACTGCTAACTTCTGAACATTTCTTTACACAGTTAGGGGAAACACCAAGTAAGCCCAGAAGGGCACGCGTATGCCATGTGAAGAGAAACGTTGCCACTGTAAACGTATTTTTAGTGGTTGGTGCAAATACTGCTTCAGCAGCGTAATGCTCTGGAAGCAATCAAACCCCCCTCACACTTCTGAACTAGTAGTTGTATTTTAATATAGGTTTATGCTTTGAAGTTTACACCATCTGATGGAGCTGTAAAACCAAGGCTTAAGAAAGCTCCAAGGCACTGAGCTCATTTTATAAACAGTGGAAATTCTGGTATGAGTCTGGAGCGATGAGTCAGTGAGGTTACCTTGATGATATTGCCAGAAGAAAAAGAAAGCAGAATGTTATTTAACTGCTTACATTATCTCATTGGAAATAAGGAAAGAAAACATGGTAAGGTTAAGTATGAAACACAAAGGAAACAGTATGTGTGATAACCCCATGTACCCTTAGGACAGAAGAGGAAAGGCTGGCAGCTCTGTGTTTTTCACATCCTCAGCCTGTAAGATTGACAGCTATGAATATGATGAAAATCTCCTGGAAAAAAGTAAATTTATAGCTAATGTGTAGAACATCAAGGCTATGGCATTTCATTGTCCCTGCTGAAAGAAGTGTAGAGGGGGAGGTTTGGGGGGTTCCTCACATGTAGGGCAGAAGGAGCCCCTTCAAACAGAGCCCTGGCTCTAGGCGCCATGTCAAGAGCTGCCAGCCACCACCAGTGTGCCCGCTTCTCACAGGCAGCTGGAGCCACAGCAGCACACAGGGCATTCAGACGTGGGAGATGAGCTAGCTCTTTGACAACTGAAATTTTGGTCTTCGCTATTCAAAACGTAGCAGGGAGCCTTGCCAACACCAAAGATGGGTCAGAAATTATGACACGTAATGGGTGCTGAGAGATATATTTGTGGTGTGATGCACAGCAGGGAAAGATACCTCTTCAGGTGCTTGCATTGACAATTACATTAAAGAAATTGTGACTGAACAGTGATTTTCAGAGGAAACTTAAGGAGGATTTTCACACGCACTGTTGTACTCTTTTGCCACACTGCTTTTTCCAAGGAGCCATCACATAACCAATGAAGTATTTGTATTTAAAGGATTAATTCCTGCTAGCTTGTGTACTGTTAATCATACTGTTTCCTCCTAAATGATTACAATCGATGAAAACTAAGGCAAGGGATATAATAAACAATGCGCAAATAATCCAGGTACCAAGGGAGCAGGGTACCTGCCAGGTCTTTCCTAGCACAGGTGTTCAGGTGTTTTATTGCCTGCTATGAATAAAGAGCTTTCTTTTCTGTTCAGATTTGGAGATATGTCAAACCACTAAATTAAGGGAGCTTCACTGGAGGAATTTGCTGTCATTTTAAGTGCCCAGTTTCTTTAAACGTACACATATCGAAAGGAGAGTGGCTACTATGGCTCATTGGCTAACACTGTGGTCTGTCTCCTTCCTCATTTTATTTTATGTGAAAAGCTGGCAATTTTCATATATCCATAAACAGGCATGAACTGCTGCACAGAAATTGTACTCATTATATTAATAATGATTTACCATGAACATCCTCCAGGGGCTTGATTTGGTCCACATCAAAGTCCTTGGGATTCTTTCTGCTGATTACAGCAGATCAAGCCCTAAGCAGGTTTTCTTTTTTTAAGTCAGCTTTTAATGTCAGCTCAATGTTAGATGTGTTTCCTATAGAGGGTCGCATCCTGCCCGGGTGAGGGGAGCACCACAGTGAGCCACTGCATTTTCTGATGTGGCCCAACGGGGGACATTAAGATGCTGCTCTGTGCCGTGGTGGCGTCCCTGGGAGTGGGGCAATGAGAAGCAACATCTCCAACTGCTCATGCCAGTGGTCCTTGGGGCCAGCTGGGTACAACAGTGTCCCCTGAAGGATGTGGGCAGAACGAGAGCCTCTTGGCTTGTATGTGACCCACCTGCACCCAGGCGAGTCTACAGGGCTACATCTAAGAGCTCAGTTTACCATCAATGGTCAGGGCACTGAAAAAAGACTTAAGCAATTTTGGGTCTCTACCCAGCTGTTCAAAATCTTTTTTTAATGTCTCCCAGCTCCTACTTGAAAAATGGGCTTTACCTGCTTCCTGGGGGTACAAGAAAGCTTACTTAAATAGGAGTAAAATTTTTCTTCCAAGCCGCCCTGTATGCTTGCAACACTCTGAAATACCTCAGTGCTTCTGGGCTCCGGTGTCCATACAGTCAGTGAGAGAAAAGCAGATCTATGGTATTTTGATGAAACTGGAGAAAATATTTTTCCTTTGGGAAGAGTGTGGATGGCAGGACAAATGGGACCTGAAACATGGCTTTATCTCAAGGCAGAACTTTCACTTAATGTAACTTTTGCTGTATTTCATAACTTGTATATGAATTAGATGTTAAACACCAGGAGCTTCTTGCTGGAAACAAACCACAAGCTCTTGCTACGTTTCATATGAAGCACCCACAAAATCATGTGTAGAATTAATTTTCTGCAAGTAAAGTCCATTTTTTCTTTTAAACAGAATTTATATCTTTGCATTTTGGTTGTTGATAAGCTCTTAAGAATGTGTTACCTATCTTTCCTTTTTTTTTTTTTTTTAATGTTAGTCCTCTTTTAAAATCCTGAAAATGACTTAGTCAGTTATCCTAGCAGATTTGGCTAGTATTTCTTAAAAAATGTTGCTATGGTGCTTGGAGTATTGTTAAATTTTAATTATTAGTAGT